ACTTTACTTTTAGGGGCTTCGGGGAAATATCGGGGGTCTAAACAGACCCCTGATATTTCTCTTTTAAAATGGTAAAATGGAAAAAGAGATTGAGGACACAGAGTCCTCAATCTCTTTTTCTGCAGCTCCAGTTATCAATGAACAGGAATCCTCTATGAGTGTTCCTGTTCATTGATAACATGAAGACCTAGTATGTTTACTATAACCACAACCGTGAATGAACAGGAGGTGATGTAGATTACTCCCATTCATTCATAATTGAGGATATAGTAACCATACTCTGTCCTCAATTATTTACAAACACTCAGCGATCACTGATCGCTGAGTGTTTGCACTCACTCTCCTCTCTGACAGCTGTCACAGGAGGTTGAGCGAGCGGAGCAGGGAGAAGAGCCCAGCCTCCTGTGACAGCGCTGGCTGCCTCTGCCCCTACACCGCTCTGCCGGACTGTGACAGGAGGCTGAGCGGTGTGGGAGGAGAGACGCCGGCCACTCACAGTGCTCTCCTCCCGCAGCGCTCGGCCAGCTGTCACAGTTTCTCTCCTCCCTGCTGGGACACAGAGCAGCGACCAGCAGGGAGGAAAGAAAGCAGGGCTGCGTCGATGTATCGGCACAAAATGGCCCTTTCGGCATTATGCCAAAAGTGCAATGTGCGGCCGATATATCGGGGTATCCCTACTTGTTAGTACACTCAGCATTCGTGGTATGCCTGGCAGGGTTTGGGAGATGTGCAGCACTAGCGTAGGGTAGGGTAACGCTGAGTGCAGAGGTCACTGACCTCTATGTTACGCTACTGACCTTTGCACCCTGCTTTACACCGCTGATCTCTGCATTGCTGTATCATGTATGCGGAGATTTGTAGCTCCTCTACAGCTTGGAGTCAGTGGCAGAATTACCTGGGCCACAGCTGCAACCGTGCCCTGGCACTCCACCACTAACTCCAAGCTGTAAAGAGACTACAAATCACAGCCTAGACAGGAGGAAGAGGGTCCCAGTGAGTGATGACATTTCCATAAAGAGGACCACCAAAATCCTCAACACCAGGCCCATGATGCGCTTAATCCGGCCCTGCCTGCCAGGCAGTCGCAGTGTAGCAAATCAGCGACAGAATGATTTCTTCTTTAACTCTGAGGTCAGAGCCA